CAAACCCTGTCAACTTCAAAATATATTGCTAATTCCACCACTTTCTCATCACTTTGACTGCTAATACCCTAAGCCGCCATCAGGCGTCTACGGCAACTTTCTAAATGGTCTCTCTGTTGGCATTCTTGCTCATTTTTTTTTTTTACCTTCAGTCTACTCTCCAAAGAACAAAGTGCACCTTTTAAAATATGTCAGCTCACCCTCGCCCTCCTGTTTAACATCTGTTTAGAACAAATTCCAAAGTCCTTCTCGTGGCCTGCATGATTTGGCCCGTGGCTCCTTCCTTCGCTAATCTCGTCCTTGCTCGCTCTTCTTTGCTCACTTTCCTTCAGCCACCGTGGCTTTCTGCCACACCTTGGAAACACCAGGCATGCTTTATCTTTGCGTTTCCGGCCTTGCTATTCCCTCTCTTTGGAACAATCTTCCTTCAAAACTCTGCGTGACTCCACATCTCACTTTAGACTTCTGCCTAAACCTCAATGCCTCATAGAAGCCTTCTGTGACCACTCTATTTAAAATAGCCACTTTTCTCTCATCTCTGTCATTCTTAATCCCCTTAGCCCAGCGGTTCTCAACCTGTGGGTCGCAACCCCTTTGTTACAATGAAAACACATCCTGCATATCAGGTATTTACATTACGATTCACAACAGTAGCAAATAAAAATAATGTTATGGTTGGGGGTCACCATAACATGAGGAACTGTATTAAAGGGTCACAGCATTAGGAAGGTTGAGAACCACTGCCTTAGCCTGATATGTGTTTCTTCATAGCACTTACAGCTACTTGACATTATAGCACATCCACTTGATTATGTGTTCATTTTTTCTCTCCCACCCTAGGATGCAATATAATAACAATAATCACAAACAAAACATAATAATAATCACAACAACAACAACAACAATAATAATAATGATGGCTGAACAACCATTAAATGATTACTAAGAACCAGATTTTCTAGATGCTCAACAGGCCTTGATTCATTCAATCCTCACAGCAATTCAATGACATAAGTACTATTATCATCCCCATTTCACAGCTCAGACAACTGAGGCATGAAGATACTCAGCAAAGCCACGTATCTACTAGGTGGTAGAGCCAAGATTGAAATCTTGGCAGGCAATACCCAGAAAGCCCTCTCTTAACTACAGTACTCTTCTAGTTCAGTGAAAGATCTGAAAGCAGAGCTTATAACTGTATCATTCCCTGCTACAGTCACAGCGCTTAAAATAATGCTTGGTTCAGACTAGGCTCTTAAAAATTATTTGTTGAAGGAAGAAATCAAAGAAAAAAGCAAAAGAAACAAACAAAGGGATACTGATAACATGCTGTGGTTACACAGTTAGAGAGACGCACAGCCTGGACTTAAACTTAAGGCTGCTTATTTAAAGCTCTTCTCACTCTCCTATGGCATGGGCTTTCTCATATACCTTCCCTTATATAATCTTCACAAATTTATCAGGTCAAATGGAAATTAAAATTACTTACATTATTTCGAATGGATATAATGGGCATCCAAAGGTTAAGTGACTTGCCCAAGGACATAACCTAGTTTGTATGTCAACTAGCCTGGAAAACCCCTATTTCCTGGTTCTGAAGTTGGTGTTCTTCCTACCACATTCTGCTGCCTTCTGAAGACAAAAAATGTTATTGGCTCACTGAGTCAATTCATTCTGTTCCCTGGCTAAAATAAAAATGGACACCTTCCTTGAGTAGGCAGGAAGGGGCTTTTAAGACTGCCTTTTGTTTACAGACATGAGAATCTCCACTTTTAGGAGAACATCAATATTCCTTATAACTAGGGATTAAGCCTTTAAAAGAAAGATAGATATAAGCCTCTCTTGATAAATCCATGCTTTCCTTTCCTCTACCAAAAAACAGTCGAGATGAAAATGGTAAAGAGCTTTACAACATTTCTCTTTAGATTGGCACCTGTGGCTCAAGAGGCTAAGGCGCCAGCCACATACACCTGAGCTAGCAGGTTTGAATCCAGCCTGGGCTTGCCAAACAACAATGACGGC